TACTTTTATAGACTTTAATATCTCCGATTTAATTATTTGAGGTTTCCGATTATCTGTTTTGTGTATTGAGTACAGATTTATATCTTGTAATTGTATTTTAGATATGTTCCAATTCAAATTCCTTTTTATTTCAGAAAGATGTTCCATATTTTCTATAAACATAAATAAATTTTAGAAATCTATATTTTTTCCTTCACACAGTGTTAGAAATATTATAGAATGTAATACTGAAAATATTACAGAATGTAATATTGAATGTAATACTTTTCAATGTAACAATTTTTAACATAATGAGAAAAATATTTATAAAAATATAAAGCAGATACAATTCTAATTAAAATATAACTGTCTTTTCTTATGCAACTAAAACAAGAATTATAAAAGTAATTAAAAAGTAAAAACTCATAAATTAAATTAACAAATAGATCTAGAAAAGCCCAATGAGCGTGGATTAAGTTAACCGAAATTAAATTAACCGATTTTTAACACAAGTAAGATCTTAAGATTTTAACATAAGTAAATCTTATATGAGATTTTGAATTTGTTAAAGCGATTTATGTACCTCCGTTCAGTCTTAAATAATATATATTGTAGATCTTACTTATGTTAAAAACTGGTTAATTTATTTTATTTAATTCACGCTCGTCTCATTGACCTTTTCTAGATCTATTTGTTAAAAATTATAAATACTAACAATTATAAAATCAATATTATTTTATTAAAATTAAATATTGAACAAAATGACTGATCTTTAACAACATATTAAAATTGATTTTGGATTAATTTTCTGTTTTCCTAAGATAGATTGACGAATCAAAATAACACTTTTACAAGACATTTTTATAATAATAATTAAAATATCTAAAAATGTTTAAGATATTAATAAAGAAATTATATCCTAAACAGTTAAAAAACTATATTAAATATAATATTAATTAAATATAATATTAACATTGTCAAAAAAATATATATTATTCTTACAAAAACAAAAATAAAGAAATTATCAATAAGTCCTATAGCAACAATGCTAACAGTATACGCACTTACCGTTAATAGCCACTATAAATGCTTTTATCCGCGATTGTGATTTCTGTAACATGCATTTTTTACTTCTTCTAGCATCACTTAATAAACACACATGATACGTGCCATCAGAAATAATGTTTGCTTTATTAATGCCATCATTAATAAAGCAAACATTATTGCGATTTATATTTTACTTAGCTTACTTAGCTTATATTTAAAAGCTTTTTCTTTTGCTGAGTTTGGCTTGATCTAGCGTTGAACAGGACACTTCTTTGCGAGTTCATTTGTTATTACGATAGACTGTTCTTTTTATTGAATCTCTTGCAGAGATCATTTCTTCTTTTTCTCCCTCCTTTGGAAAGAAAAATAGAAAAGAAGAACTGTGCAAAAAATTTAATTAAAAAGAATGAATATTTTATCACGCAATGTACATGAAAAATACAGAGTTAT